GATCGTCTGTGGCTGGTAGGCCGCGGAAGCATGTTGGAGGGTGAGAGGAAATTATGACGCGAATAGTAAGTGTGAAAGGCGATGAAACTGTCTCCGACAGTTAGTGATGTCGTATGACAATGTAGTAAGAGAATGAACAGGTTAAGAAGACATACTCGGCCATGGTGATAAGCGAAGCTGCGGGTCGGGTTGTTGAAGATAGATGGGGTATTACAATGATAGCGAGGCGGGTTTCACAACCACGTATATAGCAGGTCCGGGACTTCCCATCTGCAACCCCTCACAGACTCAAGAGAGCGTAATCAAGATCTATGCATGGGACAAGTGAAGTAGGGGGTGGTAGGTGCAAGAGTAATGCAACGTCTCCGCCAGCGCGCAGCGTGGAGAGAAATCAGCGAGTCGAGCCACGACGCATTGAGACCAAGTAGGAAAGAACGGGAATTGAACGACGCAACAAGGATCGCTTGATGAAAGAAAAGACAGTGAGGGAGTGTACGAAGAAAGAACAAGTGAAGGAGAGTGAGTAGAAGCGAATTGAGGGAGAGGGGGGGTGGAGGAGGAGGAGGGGAGGGGGAGGTAGGGTAGGTAGGATAGAGCCGGACAGATGACGATAGAGGCGGATCGGGGAATCAGGGCGTGATCAAAAGGAAGGGTGTGGATATTAGAGTCGCGGATACTACCCCTCTTTGTCTCCAGGTGGGCGTTGATATTGTTGGTTCGTATTGAGAGGGAAAGAAGAGGGGAAAACGAAGAAGCAGAAGAAGCGAAAGAAGCGTTAAGAAGGCGAGGTCTGAATTAAAATTTCATATGATTAAGGATTAGGTTAGTGGGCAAAGGTGATTTTGAGAACTTTGAATAGGTAAGGTTGTAGTAAGTTAGTAGGTAATGAGTACGAAGTACGGAGAGTACGGGATAGACAAGACACTGACAGACAGACGGAGAACGGAACTGATGGGCACCAGCCTGGAGCAGAAGCACAGCCTCGGCGGCGCCTGAAGCAACTTGGAAGCCAGAGTAATCGCGGTAATTACTGTATATTACCGGTATCGCCGCCCGGGGTCAGGCGGGCCACTCGAAGGACGGTTAAGGATTTTTTGCAGCACTAGCTCCGGTGGCGAGTGCAAGTGTCGTATTATCTTACGCTAATTACGGAGAATACGCGGAGATACCTTCCACTCACCCAATCACACCCTCAGGCGCTTAAACTTCAGTTGTCGCGTCAGGCCGATATCTTTGCCCGTCATCTGTGAGTGAAGCTTAGCGAAGGCAATGACCAGATGGGAAGGTCATTCTAGCTCCGAGTCGATATGTCCCCCAAGGAGAAACCATCACACCTCCATCACACCCCCGAAAAAGAAAAAAAAAAAAAAAAAAAGAGACCCCCTGCAATGGCTGGAGACGGATCTGCCGATAGCAGTACTCCGTACTGTACTCCCCCGTACCGATCTTCGTCTCCTTCACTGCATACCGATTTATAAATAACTCGAAGCCACGTTCCCATGCCGGCTTCTTCGGTTTCCGCTCCGAGGGTGGTGTGTGTGGTGATCTTGATACAGGCCAGCGTCTCGCAAAGGGATACCGGAGTGAGTGGCTGGACTAGGAGGGGAGGGGGGCTTATTCTCACTTGCCTTTTCTTGCCCTTCCACCCCCTCCGCCCTAGATACTACTACTCACCTAGTAAGTTACCCTGGCCTCGATGCAATTGAAGACCCGACCCAAAAAGTTGGAGACCCATTTGTCAATGGTTGGGACCGCGTCGGTTTGCTTTTTAGCCCGGCCCTATCGGACAATCTCAACCCAAAGCAGTGGGATTGTCAGTGCTCGGTGAACTGAAGATGACTGTGGTCTTGGCAGTGGATGACCATACGTGCAGTAACTAGATAAATATGTGTATGAGTATAAGCAAACAAGGGAATTATCAGCTTCTGAGACATTGGAACCTTAACTGATCCTTGGTTGAGGCCCTGATCGGCAGAGAGCCCAGCTGTCACTGCTTGAATTGTAGCCATTGCTAGGCAATAGAGCTGAATTGCGGTGTAATCGTCCCAATCTGGCGGATCGAAGCTGCATTGCCTCCGCCTGCGGCCATACTATCGATTTCCTGATCGGGCAATGATGGCCTTGAGGATGCCTCATGGCGCCCCGCCCTGGTGGTACGTTAGTGGCCTGAGTGCCTGAGGCACAGAGCTATCATCAAGGTGGGGGTGGAAACTTCCATCAATAGCAGATGCATGAGCGGGTTTCATCCATCCCCTCTGTGCATTAATCTTTTTTTTCCAACTTTGGGTTTCCATTCAATACAATTTTACTTTAGGATCTCGCAGCAGAGATTCTCTTGGTCCGACGATCTACACAGAAATTCCCCGAGCAGACCGCACTGATCAAGGAGAAACTCCCCTTTCCACATATTGTCGATCAACTTGACCAGTAGCAACCATGGCCGACGCAGAGTTGGAAGAGGTCAGTATGCCAGCCTCATGCTCCGACCTTTCGATCTTCCCCTTCTGGCATCATGATGCCATATTCGACCTCGTTCTTTCCCACCAGAGTATTGTTCTTCGACCCTAATGCTCAGACATGTAACAGATCAGACGGGCCCGCATGGCTCAGCTCCAGCAACAGAGCGGTGGTGCACGCGGCGGGCCAGGTGACGGCCAAGAAGATCAGAGAAAGTAGGCACTCCTTACAGCTACTCACATGATTGGAACCACTAATTGCTAACACTTCGTCAAGACAAGCTGAAGGTATGCGCAATAGCCATCCCAGATCCACCTGTGACATGTGAAGAGGGCCCGACCTGGAGCAATCTCCGCGCCATCTTTCCTCCTCCACCTCCGACCACCACGCTGCAAAAAATAAAGACTGTACTCACCATAAGCTCCCCAACTAGCCGACCGCCGTGCCTCCATTCTGAATCAGATCCTCGAACCGGAAGCCGCCGACCGCCTGGGCCGCATCCGCCTCGTCAAGGAATCGCGCGCCATGGACGTGGAGAACCGCTTGATCATGCTCGCGCAGACCGGCCAACTGCGCCAGAAGGTGTCGGAGGACCAGCTGAAGCAGCTGCTCAACGCCATGGCCGAGAACCAGCGCAAGGACGAGGAGGAGCACAAGATCGTGATTTCGCGGCGCAAAGGTGGCTGGGACGACGACGACGATCTGTTGGACTTGTAGAGGCGACAACAACAAATCTGATGTGATGAAGTGTTATTAGCGAGAGAGACGTTTGACGTCCGCAGGTGATGATGATGGTCTTTTGCAGTCTCTTTTATGATACCTTTCGCCTGCTCCTCTTTTCTCCGGCCCAGTCTAGATTCTGGGTGAACCATGCATGCGCTTAATGTTTGGATTATTGGCTCTGCAGCGGTGGCGGGAAAAATGGCCTCGATATGAAAAGCTACTCTTACGCCTGCTTCGTGCGGAAGGCCGGCTTGCGTACAGCCTACTCCGCGTGACCTTTGAGTCCTCCTTCACACCTCTCTATCAACCCACGTATATCCACCAACCAAACCAAGGAAATTCTTTTGAACCAGAAATAACAATATATCCATGCCATGCAATACTATAATATACATAGGTATCACCACTACCAAGCCAAAAACCAACACACTACAACCCGGCCGTCGCCGCAGCCGCCTCCTTCTCCCTCTTCTTCTGCATGCGGATCATCCTCCGGATCTCGCGCATATCCGGCGGCCTCTCGATGCCCAACTCCTCGCGCAGCTCGCCGACATCCTTCTCCAGAATCTTCTCCCAGTAGACATTGATGAGCTCCTTGCTCTTCAGGCCACTCTTCACCGCCCACGGCAGATAGATCTTGAACAGCCGCTCGCGCTCGGCGGGCTTCAACCGCACCGAGGCGAACAGACTCAGCCCCGTCATCGGGATCAACGTGTTCAGAAACTCGAACGCCTTGAGCGCCAGCTCCCCCTCCACAAAGATGGGCAGGCCCGTCACGGCGTGGTAGAAGTCGTGGCACTCGCGGTACCGCTGCATGACGTAGGCGCACTCCGGGTCGTCGATGTACTGCACGTTGTCCCGCGTGTCCGGCGATACGCCCTCGCGGTCCAGCCAGGTCGCGTACGTCCGCCCCACCGTGTTCTCCGGCAGCGTGCGCAGGTAGGACATCTGGAGCGTCTGGGAGGTGATGCGCGGTCGGTCGCGGAGGATCTGCCGCCCCGTCGGGTCGGAGAGCATCGCGTCGCGCAGGCGGTAGATGAAGTAGGGGGTTGCCGTGGCTTCGCCGCAGGTCGCGATGAGATCTGTTTGGTGATTGTGTTCGTGGTTAGTGTGGGTCATCGGATATAGAGGGGAGGAGGCGTGATTGCGGAGAGGAGAATGCGGGGCGAGGTTGATGAGGAAAGACAAAGGGTTCAAGACGCACCAGCTCGTCGAGGGTTGATGAGAGCTCCAAAAGCAGAGCCGACGGCCAACGCTCCGCGCTCGAAAAAGGTCAATGGCACATGGCCGGGATAGTTTGGCGGAGGGCGGTTCCAGGCGGAGAAAGACCGCGCGGATCGAGACTGGAGGGGAACAGGAGCTGCGATTGTGGCTGTGGCAAGGAGGTTCAGCTCCCGAACGCTGAGTGCAGCGCTGCGCTTCCCAAGAACAGACATCTTAGAGGTTCAAAAGGACACCACGTCGCACTGGACTCGAGCTTCGTGGGGGGGGCAGTGGTCGGTCGAAGTAGATGCAAGTGGTACGATTTCGGGGAGATTCCGGATAGCGTGAGTGGTGGGTCTGGCGTGCCGTACCGCCTGATAAAGATCGATAAGATAAAAAAAAAAAGAGACCTTTCTTTATCGATTGGGTTGAGCGCGGGACCATTCCCAGATAATTTGCGACGCAGCCGCATTGTCACAATCGCGAGGTTCATTGAACAGGAGAGCCAGCTAGCCATACATCAGTGGTTAACATAATCATCCGATCGATCAGATCACGGGCATCTCCAACATCCACATAAGAACAACACCGCATCACCCGGCTCGACAATCGCAAACATGCGACCCACCTGGTGGCCCGGCGAGCAACATGAAGCTTTTACCGAATGGGCGTTATCCCAAGGCATCATCATCAATGGAGTCAGTCCGGCACGATTTCCCGGTCGAGGACTAGGAATGATCGCCACACGGCGTATAGAAGTACGACAAAGACATAACCAACCCAACAAAGCCGCCGCCAGCCATCTACTGACCCAAACCCACCAACCCAGAAAGACGAAGCCATCGTGACAGTGCCCCACGAAGCCATGCTTACCCCCTCACGGATCCCGACCTCCTTCTCCAGCAGATTCCCCGACGGAACCCCTACCCACGCTTTATACGCCGCCTATCTCACCAACGGCGACCCTGCCGACCTGGAAGCCTACACCCTCTGGCGGCGCACCTGGCCCACCCGCGCCGACTTCGAAGCGAGCATGCCCATCCTCTGGCCTGCGTCATTCCGGCATCCAACAAAATCCGAGCATTCGTCGTCGTCGTCGTCGTCATCGGCACCCCCCAAATCCGACGCTCCAGCCCTCCTCCTCCCCCCTTCCATCTCCAGCCAATGGACCACGATCCCGCCGCACCCATGCGCGCACGACTACGGAACCACCCACCAGAACCTCCTCGCGCAGCAGGAACAACGCCTGCGCAGGGACTGGGACATGGCGGTTGCCGTGTTCCCCAACACCGACTGGGACCAGTTCTCGTATCATTGGCTGATCGTCAACACGAGGAGCTTTTTTTACTTGATGCCCGGCCAGGAACCGCCGGAGGACCGCAATGATGCCATGGCCCTGCTACCTTTCGCTGACTATTTCAATCACTCGGATGTAGCGGTAAGTTCAAGTTCGGACATTCAAGCGTGCGTGTGTGCTTGTGTGTGCGCGCGCGTTGTGCCGGGGAAGTGGTATGGCTGACTTTTTTGGGGGTGGGTGTCTCAGTGCAACGTCAAGTTTGATGGGCTTCATTATGTGTTTCGCGCGGCTAAGGAGTACGGTATGGTTTAATTACCTCATCGTTTTGATTTTGCCTGGAATTTTATTGGGGCCTGATTCATTGATTGACTTCTTGTTGCTATGTCGCAGATGAAGGGGATGAGATCTATATGAGCTATGGTCCACATCCGAATGATTTTCTATTCACTGAGTGTGAGTATCCACCCAGCCCTAGACTTGCGCATCTCTTCGCTCTTGGTTGACCTCGTTTTATAGATGGTTTCTACTTGGAGGAAAACGAATCTGAGACTCTATATCTCGATGCCATTATATTCAAAGATCTCGGCCCTAAATTGCAAGAGGAACTGGATTTCCATCAGTACCTGGGGTATGTACAGTACTATCGCTCCTGCTTCCGTTGTGATGCAGATCACCGTCGCTAATCCGGGGCCAATCAGGAACTACCAACTCACAGCCGGTGGTGTTTGCTACCGGACCGAAATCGCCGCTGCGATCACATATATCACGCCCAAGGACTGGCAGGATCATGTCCTCGGCTACTCGAGTCAAAGTGTGGATGAGAGGAGATCCGCTAAGGTCGTCCGAAACTGGATTGGCGCATATATCGAAGAGGCAGATACAGCGATTCGATATCTGGACAGTGTTCTGTCCGGTAAGAGCGACCAATTCCACTTAGAAAAGGTACAAATGCTCCTGAACCGGTGGAGACAGATTAGACGGCTCTGCTTCCAAGCCCTAGATACGGTTCCCTGCTAGGAATATAGGCATAGTTGAAAGGAAATTGTTTAGTAAAATGGCCCGAACCTGGGAGCATCCTGCGGTCTAATTCGGATTATGGAGCGCTTCGAGAATTCCTTTTTCGCCCTTCCATGGGGACATCAATGGGAATTGCAGAGATTTCCTTTTGTCTGGTCTCATATGTCTTTCCTTGGATCAATGCTTGAATCATATAGTTCATCACTGGTTTGAGGCCGAGCTCCTCGCCTCTGCGCACGATGTAGCCGTTCAGGAACTGGATTTCAGTTACCTTGCCCGCATTGATATCACGCAGCATATTACTCTCCTGGCCGGCAGTCCTTTCGGCGATTTGAGTGAGCAGGCGGCGTATGCGCTCCGGGCCGAAGCGGACCTCGATCCCAGGAATCGACCGAACCTCGGGCAGAGCGGAGATAATGCTACAGGTTTCAAGGAGGAGGAGGCGCGTGAGACGGGTGAAGTGGTAATTGTAAAGAGTAGCACCGTTTTTGAATCCCATGAGCGCGGTCAGCGGTTGGAGAACGGATTGAACCGCGATTTGCTCCAGCTGGGTTAACAAGAGATCGGTCGGGGCTGCTGCAGTAGCGACGAGTGGCGCGGTGGTGGTCAGAATGCGCATGAGGTATTTGGTGGTTCGAGCCCAGGCTTGCGTCCAATATATTTTCTCGGCCTCAGCTAAAGACAGTTTATTTTCCTGCGGTGGAACCCCTAATACAAGTGTGCCCAGCTGAGCATGATAGAATTGAAAACTGCCCTTTCTCCGACGAATGTAGTGGGTGAATACTCCTTGCATGTAGTGCGGTCGTGTCATCGGGTCCGGAAAGCAGTGCTTATTGATTTCTTCCATCGTGCCCAGGCCGTCTGAGAGGATCAGAATCGTCGAATCAGGCGTCAAGCGATGCTGAATTGATTCCACGGCCAGGGCAGTCCAGTTCGATCTGACAGGGATGATTGCACACTCAATTTTCGAGTCATCCTGTTGGAATTGCACGGTTCCGGGAGACTCAGGTTCCGCCGCGCCATAGAAGTCGCCCTCATATTCGAGCGTGTCATAATTTTCGTAGTCGCCCTGCTCGGTTGTCTGTGGAATCGAGTACCAGGTAGCCTTGCCCCTCCTGACGTTCACATCAAAGCCGGTCTTGATGTCCTCCAACCCATTCGCTTGCAAACTTATGCTCTGTTTCGCAGCCATCCATTTTTGGTAGGTGCCAAAATCGTTCAACATCAAAGTGATAGGCGGCACAGACCGTCGACTTGCTAATGAGTGAGCAATAAATAAGGCGTCATTGTCACTACCCACGATGTGTATGCGCCCTGAGAGCCGGGAATTGGAGCCGGCGTCGAGCGATTCCTTCGGTTCATTGGCAGAGTCCGACATGAAGCAACTGACGGTAAATTGCCGAGCTTTCAATACCGATGAAAAGCATGATGTATATGGGCCAGTCCGCCACAGCGGACTGCGTCTGAATATGTACGACACTTTGAAAAGCTGCCGCGGAACAGCGGTCTTGAGAAACCGGGGGGGCCGGGGTAATGTACCCTCTGTGGAGACAGTGGTCGTTCTCCTCCCTGAACAGCGTATGATTTTCAGGTGAGATATGGGCAATTACAGCCAGGAATTTCTGATCATAACAAATTAATTAAACCGTTCAGCAAGTTTCGGGAGAATGGAAGATGAAAGCTAAGTGAAAGATGCGAATGAAGTAAGAGGCGACGGACAATTTTGACCCGCCACCGCTTCGCTCACCGCCTTCATCACCGAAAAAATCACCCTATTGTACCAGATTTTCGAGGTTCCTCCTTTCAGCATACAAAGAACCGTGCTCAAGATGGAGGCTGCAGATTTACTCCCGCTGCTTGAGCAGCTAGATGACAACATTGATGACCTCGAGGAGATTCTCCAGCCTGTGCTGGATGGCTCCGGTGTGAAATCATCGAGCAATCTTCCAGTACTGGACAAAGCCAAATTCCATGTCTTGGTCACTTATACCCTGGAATCTCTCATCTTCTGTATGTCATCATTTCCTCGGCGATAGCTGTGTACGTACTGATTTTGTCATAGCCTGGTTGCGCCTGCACGGTGTTAACGCCAAGGAACACCCGGTCTTTCGCGAGTTGACCCGAGTGAAGCAATACTTCGAAAAGATCAAAGAGCTGGAGACGGGCCCCGAGCAACGCACTCTCAAGCTCGACAAAGAGGCCGCCAGTCGCTTCATCAAACACGGTCTTGTAGGTTCTATCCTAGGAGTCGGCAGTTCTCTTAGCATGGCAGTACTAATCAGCGGCCAGGCTGGGAATGACAAAATCGACTTGGAGCGCAAAGAGCGAGAGGCGAAGGAAAGAGCACGCGCGCAGCTCAAGGCATCACTCCTAGCGAAGAAAGACTCCTCGACCTCCGATCCACCGACCAAGAATGTCACCGACGATTCCGAATACGAGTCTGATGCCGAAAGCGACGACGCGGACGAGAAACCCGCACCGACCACCCGGAAGAGCAAGAAGAAGCAAGCCAACGAGGACAAGAATAGAACCAAGGATAAGCAACGGAAGAAACTCAACAAAGAAGAGCGCAAAGAAGTCAAGAAGGATAGGCGGAAGAAGAAGGGCGACATGCGCAAAGCGAAGAATCTCAAATGAGGTAGCCTCTCGATCTTCAACAGTGCACATGGCTTAGCATTGTGACCGGCTGGTCCGCTCTACATGGCTAAGCACTACTCCGCTTATCAATCACAGCTAGCACTTTTGATCGTTGGCCGAGTCGCATTCGGGTCTGTTTCTAGGGTGTCATATACCCCGCTACGAGGGGAGCCCTCAAGGCCTATAGCATGGGTTAACCAGGACTCGACGGAGACTATTGTTCAGACCGGCTCCTGACTAAACCATGTGATGCGCAAGGCTGGTCGGGTATCCGTTCCTGAGCATTGTGCGAGCCGGCAGCTGTACCTCCTACAGCGCGACAGTGGAATCGGCGCGACGCATGGACTCTTCCACTAATTACTGCAAGGTTCCACCACAGCCGAACAGTGGCAAGATGGGATCTTGAGCTGGTTACACACACATGCTCAGCCGTGTGGATCATGGGCATGTTTGGCGGTGACTCATGAGGGAACATCAGCCGGAGATAAGGGGTGTTCGATGGATGGATAACTCCGTATATAGGCCGCGATCAAGGAATTTCAGTCGAAGTTTCCGTCCAACTGCTGTAAATCTTTCCAATAACTGTGCAATCGATGGAGCTTTAACGCAATAGTTATTCGAATTTTGCTGTCCACAGGTATCAATTCAGTGTAAACCGATAACCACATGATAAATCTTAGGTTCAATCATATCATCAATTTGAGTAGTGTACAGTACCTGAAGTGGCCGAGAAACTCAACCAATCAACGACAAGCTCGAATTGCCGGACCGGAAGCTGACATAATCCAAGGCAGCACCAATCAGCAGTGGCGAAATAGGCACAGCATCGGAGGTTTGGAACTTTCTCCGCCCGACGGGGATTCGAGCTTGTTCTTTTTCCATAAAGACAATCTTTCCCCCTCATCCATCTTTTGCCATCCAGACCACCACTTCCTTCTCAATACCAACCTCAACTCCCTTCTATCATCCCACCCACCCACCTACCAACACAGTCCAAAATGCCTCGTCAACGCCGTGGTGCCGCTCCCACCCCCGCGCGCAGCGCTCCCACCAGACCTACTGCCGCACCCGCCAGACCGGCCGCTCCTGTCCAGCAGCAGCACAGCCAGCCTCACTCGACCTCCGCGCACCCTCCCGCCGCTGCTCCTGCCGCTGCTCCCTCGGCCCCGATGGCTGCTCCTGTCCAGAGCTCCGGCCCCGGTCTCTTCGGCCAGATGGCTTCCACTGCTGCGTAAGTAGGCCCGGGCGGTTGCCGTGTAGCATTCCGCCTTGAACCAAAGACCACCTGCATCGCCCCGGTGGTCCCCTTCCAAGCCCCTTATAACATCATTAACCGACCAAAAAACAGTGGTGTAGCAGTCGGATCCTCCATCGGCCACGCCATCGGCGGGTTCTTCAGCGGCGGCGGCTCCAGCGCCCCCGCCGAGGCCGCCGAGGCCGCTGCTCCCCCAGCCGCGCCCCAGGCCATGGACAACGCCCTCTGGGCCGGCAACGCCACCAACAGCTCCTGGGAGAACCCCGCCTGCGCCACCGACGTGCAGAACTTCCGTCGCTGCATGGACGAGAACCAGGGCAACATGTCCATCTGCGGATGGTATTTGGATCAGCTGGTTCGTTATTTCCCCGTTTTCACATTGCCCTTTGTGACAGAAAGGTGGGCGGGTAGTATGTGCGAGAGAGATTGCTAATTTTCTACGTACAGAAAGCCTGCCAGGCTGCTGCTAAGCAGTACTAGATTTATTGAAAGAAAACGGTCAAATATAAATCCATATCTCCGTTTGGATTTGAATTTCTTTTGACACAAGAGATCGATATATGCTGCATTTTTCTTTTCCTTTTGTTTCGAATTGCATGATGCAAAATCATCACACACCATACCCCTCCCCCTCTAACATCTTCGACAACGGGTCTCTCTTCCAGCGTTTTTTCTCTGGAGTGCTGGTGTTGGGGAATGTACTTTTCTGTCTAGTTATGTTTTCGTTCCCTTGGGGAATGGGATGGAATTAACCTCAAGTCCCTGTATCATTTGAGGCAGGGCTTGTGCTGAAAGATGGTTGAGATATATCATCTACCTGTTTTTCCTTCATTTTCTGCATGGCGACGAAGACTGGCTACCATCATCATCAGCATCAGCATCATCATGACTGCCACTACTACTATTACCCTTGTATATCTAGATTAACCATCACGAAAGCCGATAGGCACGAAAAACGAAAACGAGACAAAAAGAAAGAAACATTTCCACTCTTCATAGACATACTCCCGATAGTCTCGTAGTCTCGTGTTTCTCAGATCCCGGTAGAATATGTAGTGCTGTCGCTATACTACATACATCTGAAGAAAGTGATCCAATCTCTCGACGACTGAGCTCAAATTACAGTACACAACCCCTCATCGGCGATCCGTATCATCCCTGCGTGGTTGGAAGTTCAACTACGGCTCGTTGTTAGCAATGGCACGGACGTAGTTCACAATGAGATCAATGAAGGCGGTTGCTTACCTGGTTCCCGTTATAGAATTGATTATTCTCCTGCTCATCACGTTGATCTCTCAGCGTCCGAATAATCGGGCCTCGGTTCGAGGTGCCAGCAGGCCGAGCCCTCCGGTCCGCATCACTCGTCGAGGAGGTACTGGTAGAAGGTGATCCCGTCTGAGCAGAGCTCGGATTCTGAACCGTCGATCCGTATCCCAAGAATGAGCCGACTAATCCTGTGGCGGTGCCTACCGCGGAGGTGAAGAGCCCGTACGCGGAGGACACGGCGCGAACGGGAAGGCTGGATCCTGCTGCGGAGTAAGCGTCTGTGTATGTGCTGATGGGCACCATGACAAGATTCGCGGATGAGCCGAGACCGAGCTCTGCCAGGCTTTGCTCTTCCTCGGCGATCGTCAGGGTGCGGTTAGAGAGAGGAGTGAGAATGTGCTTGAGGTTGTAGGGACGCTTCTCCTCTAGCATTTGCGTGTCAAGCCAGGGGCGGACATCTGCGCGGATGGTTTCCGACGGGGAGAAGCTGGAGCGGACGGAGCTTCCGTCAAAGAGGCGGACTTGGAGACGGTATTGTTTCGGGGGCGAGGGAGGTTGGTGGACTTGCGGTGCTTCAGTCTGAAGGGATGGGGGCGTAGGTTTGGGAGTCGAGGCGACGGGCTTCGATAGGGTTTTGCGGGGTGGCTGTTCTGGAGTGATGGCCTTGTTGGCTTGCTTGGGCGCTAGGGTGGGCTTCTTCTGTGTCGCGGCTGGGGTCGTGACTGGGGATATTCGCGCATCCTCCACTCTCTTCTTGCCCTCGCGCCTACTTGAGTCGCGTGTCTCACTCGCACCAGATGCTGGAGTCGATGAAGTGGCAGTCACAGGTGCAGCTGCAGGCGCAGCAGCTGGCGGCGCAACAGCTGTGGACACAGGCACGGTAGGCTGACTCGCAGTACCCTCCACAGCATCCCCAGACGCACCAGTTGCGTCCGGTTGAGCAGTGGCTTGACTCTCATTCAGCTTGGCAGCAAGACGACTGCGGAAGTCCTCCTCGGATATCTCCGGCACGAGATAGTCGCACAGCATGCCATTCCTGCAAGACCGTCAATAAGATTGACAATAAACACGAGTACTGAATACACCCGCACTTACTTTATGACAACGACCGTCGGAAACTTGACAATGGGGCAGAAAGAGGTCAGAAAGCCCGCTTCCTGACTATCTTTAGTGAGGCGCAAGAGGACAGCTCTCGTCTCGAGTAACCGGGTGAACTAAGCCGTGAGTGGGGGGGGCGTGATATAGATCCGATGGAGCAGCTACTGTTTACCTCCTCATTTCCTGTGAAGTAGTTGTCCTCCCATGTACTGCTCGTCTGCTCATCATCTAGATCCGACGTCAGCTCCGAAATTCCGAGTACGTACCAAGCAGTTGGAGGGGCGGTGCCAGCAATGCGGAGAAGGGACAGCTCTCCAAACAATGAAAGCAAAGTAACGAACCTCGAACGAAACAAACAACAGCCTTAGCCTGGCTGACAGCGGAGACAATGCCCTCCTGTAGACTCCCCGAATAGAACATGATTTCAGGAAGAGATCCGAATAGTTGTCAAGTTAAAGAGAAGGGAAACGAAATCACAAGCAAGCATGCAATGGGTGGAGAGGTGGAGAGGTTCGGAGCGCGGAGGAGGTGACAATCGATAAGGCAAGGCGGCAAGCGGACTGGGACTGGGAGTCGACTGGCTCTCTCCACTCCACTCGCTCACTCACTCATTTACTTTTCCCTCTCTCCGCACCGCACCTCTCCTCCCACTCCCACCCCCCAACCCTCGAACCCATTCAATTGTGTCACGAGAGTGTCACGAGAGGGGACACCCATATATTCATCAACATGCGATCCCTCATCTCAGCCCTCCACCGGACCGCCGCATCCTTGCGACCCGCCTCACGAACCGCAACAACAACCGCCTCAACCTCCTCCTCCTCCTCCTCCCTCCGTCGCACCCCCAGAACGAACGCCATCTTCTTCCAGCCCAAACCCCTCAGCTCAATCTGCACCAGATGTCGCATACAGCAGCAAATCCGATCCTACAGCAATCAATTAGCCGACGATCCCGCATGGCTGTCCGTCGTCGATAATCCCGCGAAGATCGTCCGGACCGGAAACAAGCATGGGCCCGGGTTGATTATCCTAGGTATGTCTCTATCTTCTACTTTCTTCCCGGGGGGGATTGTTCTCCTACACCATTCTATAAATCATCAACGACTAACCAAAAAAAATAGCCTTAATCCCCATCATCTCCTTCGGCCTGGGAACCTGGCAAATCTACCGCCTGGACCGGAAGACCAAGATGATCGCCACGTTCGAAGACCGCCTCGTGAAAGACCCGCTGCCGCTGCCGCCGCGGATCGACCCGGCCGCGATCTCCGAGTTCGACTACCGCCGCGTCTACACGGTGGGCCGCTTCCGGCACGACCAGGAGATGCTGGTGGGGCCGCGGATGCACGACGGCACGGACGGGTTCTTCGTGGTGACGCCGCTGGAGCGCGGCGAGGGCCAGTCGACCATCCTCGTGAACCGGGGGTGGATCTCGCGGAAGCAGAAAGACCAGAAGGTGCGGGATCAGGAGGGGGCGCTGCCGCGCGGCGAGGTCGTGGTGGAGGGACTGCTGCGCGAGCCGTGGAAGAAGAACATGTTCACGCCGGAGAATGTGCCCCAGGAGGGCAAGTTCTACTTTCCTGATATTCAGCAGATGGCGGAGTTGACGGGTAGTCAGCCCGTTTGGATTGAGCAGACTATGGGTATGTTTTTGACTTTCTACGTGTTTTATGTGCAAGTGGAGAGAAAAGGAAGCCCAGAGCTAACGTTGGTTTTTTCTCGTTCAATTTATAGTGCCGGATCTGGTTGAGTCCTACAATCGGGAGGCTAAGGGTATTCCTATCGGTCGTGCCGCCGAGGTTAACTTGCGCAATAACCACAGCCAGTATATCTTCACATGGTGAGTTTTTGTCCATCTCTCGCAATGCCAGGGTATCATTACCCCCGAAGAATCCCTGCTCATGCACTCTATAGGTACGGCTTGTCGCTGGCAACGACCATCATGTTCTGGATGATCGTTCGCAAAAGACCGAACGAGGCCACTCGTCGTGTCCGGTTGAATCGTAACTGGTAGGTCTGTTCCGGGAGTCGACCTGCACCTTCCAGGGACATGTCGCGTGGGGCTTGTATGTTAAGAAAGATTTATGTATATGTACCGACCATTCATGGTGGCATCGCCAATCTCATATCCTGCAACAGCTCTTTCGGGAGATGCTTTTGTGCAAGAGAGAAGACAGTAGTGGCATTGCTCAGATGCCGTTGTCTAGTTCAAGGAATTAGTACCCGTCGTAATAATAGCGGATTTGGGGTACTCACCGCCTCATTAAAGTTGTGACGTCGCTCTCATCGATCGTCTTGCGCCCAGCATGCTTGGCATATGCTGCCAGATCGTCACTTGCCTGTTCAAAGAACCACGACGAGGCCTGTTCAATCGCCGCCAGCGTCTCCTTGCTGATTTTCGCCTTGGACCCGTTTCGTGCCCGCGCAAAGCGCATGGCCAACTTCTTCACCACACCAACGGGTAGATTAGGAACAGGAATGCCGTGGCGGGAGAGCTTCTTTTGCTTGACGCCAGGAGTATACTGATCTTCCTCCCGCAGACCTCCACCAACAATACCGGGACTTCGGCTCTCGCTCATTGCGACAGATTCCCGGGCCGGGAATTCCATGCCAAAGTCTCCGCCAGCATTAGACACACTACTGACATCATCGTCATCGCCAGGCCCAACGTCCATATCGAGAGGCATATCCACTGGTGGAAGCTCAAATCCCTCATCATCGTGCATCGGTGCGTTCTGGTCCAAATCGCCGACTCCCGGGGCTGGCGGCGATGGAAAATTGAACTCGAAGTTGAATCGGCCCAAGTCCTCGGTGTCTCCCCTGCGTGAGACATGTCAGCTATGTAGAATGATGCTCCGCATGAAAGAGGCTTGACCCACCCTCGATCAAAAGCCCCTTGGCTATCAATGGTCTCGTCTGCTTCGTCTCCGGCATCGTCGCCATGCACAAGCCCCGTATCACCCTCGTCGTCCTCATCGTCACTATCCAACCGAGTCGCATCGCCGAAATTCTCACTCAACCGCGGGCCCATCATTGAGAGTCTGCCCCTTTCTAATTCGTTTGCAGCTCGCCTCGGGTATTCAACCGTGATATCATCTTCCTCGATCGCCAGGGATAGCCTCGGAGGACGCATCTCCGGTTCCTCATCGACCTCGTCAACTTCCTCTAACGGCAGGGATAGCCGGGGTCGTTCCAGCTCGGGTTCGTTGTCAAGGATCTCAAACTCGTCCTTCTCAGGCTCGACCGGCTCTGGAGCCACGGGCTCCGGTTTCTCACTGGGTGACGAACGAATTGGTTGGGTAGTCGGGGCAAGTGCTACTTCAGGTCAGCCGGCTTTGTCCCAAAAGGTTTCGCGCATTCGTGAATAAGTTCTTTCGAGGATGGAAATAGCATCGCAATGTGAAAGAGGGGACCGCACCCTTTCCCAGGTTCCGAAGGATGTCGAATGTTGTTTCACGTTGGATTCGTCCGCTCTTCCTGCGATCCCGGCCAGGGGTATTCACACTCCGTCGCTGAATTGCGTTGAGTCTGAATGGGGTGGCAGGCGCACCGGCGCCTCTGTTACGCGGTGTATATCTGTTGGCGGAGGGAGTGGTAGTTGGCATCGCGTGTCGGCTGGGAGTGAGGGGGTTTCTGGTTGAGATTGGAAGACGCGAAAGCTGTGTATATAGTACGAATGGTAAGCATAAATACTCATTCGGAAATATGGGGAGGCCGTACCCGAGTGAGTGTGGTGTCCCCAATTGGGGAGAAGGATTCCGAGACCTCGGACAGTCGCGGTGACCGGCGCCGGGGGTTGGGAGTAGTTGACATTGTTGCGGAGGATTGCCACTTTAGATATGGGAGATTTCAGGCCCTAGCAAGAGGCACAGTAGCAGCGTCTTCTCAGAGAGATCTAGCAGTAAGAAATAACCATTGCGACCTGTGCTCGACTGAAACAACGCCTGGTAGCAGACGAGAGGGAAAAGCGCGTCGTTGAAGCAAATGCGGATGGGGTGAACCCGTGCCACGGATGTGACGACGCCCGCGCCCTGGCAGAAGATACTCTCGAATCAGAAGGCGGTCAAGCGAACACGGTGGGTCCAGACTTGATTGGCGGAACCCGTTTATCTTATCGATAAGACAGCGCTGACTCAGCATAAAAAGTTGGCGCAAGAGACAATCGCGATCGAGTTCAATACGCAATCCTGCCATTGAAGGCTTTCCTCTGCAGTGAAAAAAGTTTTAATTTCCAGACCAGAATCATGTCCGACGGAAACCCAAAGCCTTCCGGCCTGGCCGCCAAGGTGGACAAAAAGCGCAAGAGGCAGGCCGAGGAATCCAACTCCAAGACGGAGCAGCAGACCAAGTCGACTGGCAACAGTGCGTCGGATGGACCGAAGAACAAAAAGAGAAAGGATAGCAACAACAACAAGGGCAAGTTCGACAAGAAGAAGGGTGGAAATAAGGGCAAGGACAACAAGGACAAGCCGAAGCAGCCCAAGGAGCCCCAGGAGACCAAAGCAACAGAGGTCAAAGGCAGCATCGATGAAGCGATCGGAAAGATGGACGGTCGATTGTTGGCCGATCACTTCGCCCAGAAGGTTCGCCGGCATAACAAGGAGATCACTGCTGTTGAGCTGAGTGATCTGTCTATACCTGGTATGAGGCTTTCCCAGCCCTATACAGTGTATAGGGCCATCCCATATACTAACATTATAAGACTCCGCTTTCCTCGATACCTCGTCCTTCGAAACTCCCCGCAACCTCGAAAACCTCCCCGCTTTCCTGAAAGCCTTCAGCCCCGAGAAGGGTGCGCACCTGGCTAAATCGTCTGAGGAGAAGGGAACCCCCCATACGCTGGTGATCGCCGGTGCTGGTCTCCGCGCCGCCGATGTCGTCCGGGCCCTCCGCTCATTCCAGAACAAGGAATCCATCGTGGGCAAGTTGTTCGCTAAGCACATTAAGCTGGAAGAAGCCAAGCGGTTCTTGGAGCGCGCACGGTATGTGCCTCTTCCGGGCTTACTATCTTACAACACACAGACCGACTAATTCCACTGATAGTATGGGCATTGGTGCCGGTACCCCAGCCCGCATCTCGGACTTGATCGATTCAGGTATGACCTCATCATGTGCGCTATTTTAAAGTCGGTACATTTCTAATTCATTTCAGGGTCCCTCAAACTCGGTGAACTGGAGCGCATTGTCATCGACGGCTCTTACGTTGACCAGAAGCAGCGCGGCATCTTCGATATGAAGGAGACGCATCTCCCCTTGCTGCAGCTGCTCACGCGGCCTGAGTTCAAGGATCGTTACGGTGCAAAAGTCAAGGGAATCAAAATCATGGTATTTTAGAAAAAGCGATTGTACATATATGAAGGTGTTGGCGTTTGTCATATGGTCTAAGCATATCTTCTTCCCTGGATAATATGAATTATATTCTAGCTGCTGCATTGCCGACCGTGCAAATTCTCTCCTGGTTGAACTGCGACTCTACAATCAGTATATGAGAGACAGATCAAGCAAGAACTGGTATATATGGACGGGTAGAGATAGTGTAAATATATGTGGAAGATAACCTCAACAGACAGGTCATCAATCTACCAAATTGGCCTCCTCAAACTTCCGCATCATACAATCCAGCGCGTCGGCCACCTCCTCACCTTCATACTGTGCTGTCAGGCAGTCAATGCCAACGGTCATTTCTTCGAAGGTAACAGCCTCCAAGCGGGGACAAGTCCTCTTTACGCAGCTGAGGAACGTAGTCCATGAAGCGGGCGTGATAATAGAGCACCCGGAGAAGGTCAGCGACAGTAACTGACCACCGATCAACTGCAGCCACTCTTGAATGTCCTCTAGAGCGACACCAGAACGATGGATCTCAAGATGTTTGATCTCCGCCAGAGGTTTGACGTTCTTGAGCAGCGAGACCAGATCTCTGGACTGGCCGCTGATGGCATCACCAATGATGATCAGTCTCTCGAGCCGAGGCGCGGTTTGCATGATCTGGGGCAGAATCCTGTAGAGGTAATTAGCGAGGTGAAAGAAGTAGGGCTGCGTAACCTGCAAGGTAGCGAGCTCTGTCCAGGCGCGGGCAAGGTTTGGCTGCTTGTGCATTCGGGTGTATGGGCGGGCTCTTTTGGGCCTCTGGAACTCAGTATACCGGTGAGTATACAATGCCAGATTTTCCACAGGGAGCTCAGCCTCGACGAAAATGTGAAAAAGGATGTTAAGAACGTCGTCGCTGTCTAGGTACGTGAGGTTACCTTCCTTCCAGCTGAGGCAGAGTTCAAAGCTTCTGCAGTTCTTAAGCGAGTGCACGAGGTCATCCTTGAGGGTCTTGATCTTTGGAACCGAGGTAGGATCCTTGATCAGGTCATACATAGTCACTCTGTGAAGGGGGGTTAGAGGACCGAAGGGTGGCTCAATCCTCATTATTTTAACATAGTTTTTCAATTCGTCGCACTCCGCAATTCGATGAATCCGAGAGAGACTCTGGTTGGAAAAATCCGTGCGAATAACGCGTAGTGAACGATTCCATACGGGCTCCAGAGCCTTGGTTGTCAACGTCCTCATATCTTTCGAAACAGCACGGATAGAGAGCAAGTCCCTCGGACTCAGAGAATCAGCCATCATGCAAATTAGTTCCGGAGGCAAAGATGTGACATCAGACATTACTATAATCAAAGAAGAAGAAAACAGTGAAGGTGGTGTTTGCGACGAAGCGAAGCTTGTAAATGCAGATGTATTAGACCTGACAAGCATTTTATATGGGTCTTCTCCAAAACGAAATAGAAATGCATTGTAGCAACAAAGGGTATTGTGTGTCGGTGAGAACAAGGAATAAGACAACGATGTCCTTGGTCATCAAAGGAATTCTGGGTTTCTCTGTCCGCAATGCATATGAAGAATGCCTGTCATTCTTTTTAATACCAACAGACTTCAATTGTTACTCTTGACCACCTTGTTTGAACGGTGAGATTGAAAGAGTGTAGCATTGGGAAGGCTGCTTTCACCATAACGTCTGGCTGGAATCATTCATAGAGCACTCAATAGACACACAAAAGTGTGGTCTTCGACGTGCTGGTTTTGGCATCTGCAAATGGGGTCCTCACTGTCTTCGGGCAAGTTTCGATCTCAAGGACGATGGCATGTCTTAAAGCTGATATGCTGTTCGTTTCTGCAGTTTCAGAAGTCCTATCTCAGGAGTCTCATCTCAAGCATAGCACTATTGTTCAAGGGTTAAATCGTTTGGAAGCATGCTGACGTTGTTCCAGCTCCGAGTTTCAGTCTCATCCAATCTTTCATCTCCTAGTAGTAGCTTCAAGCTGTTAACTGATGAGATTGAACCTGGAGAGAAGCGACAGCGGCTAGGGATCTATACGCAGCATAAACAATGCAAGCAGAATGCCCCGAGTGAGTAAGATCATGATCGAGTTCGCAGATTGTTGGCCAACTACCAGATGGAAGCAGCGACTGCATCTCAGAAGATCTACATTGGTGTTAATCAAGACAAAGTGCTTGACTGACGAATGTTGGTATGCAGAAGCTAGGACTTGGCCTTATCGTTGGCGCAGAGTCATGTGTCGTCTCTGAGAAGAAAGACAAAGCAGTCTATCACTTACTCATAGTTCAATTTGACCGAAGCGGAGGAAATATGGTTCGATCTGGACACCTCAGGCATTACTTACACATCTACCGCTCCACTTGATCTACCGCTATCTATCTCCGCCCGGCAGAAAAAGGAAATTTCCGAGATTTTTGGCTATCTTCGGGATCAGTTCCATTCCGGTTGAAACCATTGTCCACTACCAATTTGTTTTTCTTTGGTTCAAGATCCTCCCATTTCCTCTCAAATCAACATGAGCGACAAGAAGCGCAAGCTCACCGAGGAGGCTGTGAAGCCCGAGGGCAAGAAGGCCAAGCGCGACGAGAAGAAGGAGAAAAAGGAGAAGCGCAAGGCCAAGGATGTCGTTGAGGAAGTCAAAATTGAAGAGGCTGCTGCTGTAGAGAACAAGGACAAGAAAGAGAAGAAGGATAAGAAGGATAAGAAGGAGAAGAAGGAGAAGAAGGAAAAGAAGGAGAAAAAGGAAAAGAAGGAAAAGAAAGAAAAGCCCAATGCCGATGCGGAGGCCGCCGAAAACAACGAGGTAGAAAAGGAAGCAGCCGAGGCTATGGATGTGGATGTCCAGGAACCCCAGGCGGAGGAGAAGAAGGAGAAGAAGAAGGAAAAGAAAGACAAGAAGGCTAAGAAGGCCAAGGAGGAGGACACGAATGTTCAAACAGATACCCCGTCCGCTGAGGCCCCAGCGGAGGAGTCCGCCCAGGGAGAGGAATCGAGCCAGAAGGGAAACAGGTTCATTTGCTTCGTTGGTATGCTTGAGACCAAGATGGCTGCTGGCGACGTGAGCTCATACATTTGTGACAGGCAACCTCCCCTACTCCGCTAACCGCGAATCCTTGACCGCGCATTTCGAGAAGATTTCGCCGGTATCCGTCCGCGTCGCAACTGAAAAGGACAAGCCGACCAAGTGCCGTGGTTTCGGGTTCATCGAGTTCGACAATTACGATCGCATGAAGACCTGCCTTAAGCTTTACCACCACTCTATGTTTGATGACAAGAAGTACCCGCCCCGGCGGATTAATGTGGAGTTGACGTAAGTGCCCATAAGACACTGGACACCGTTAGGATGCGATGAAGTGCTGACTTACTGCAGCGCCGGCGGTGGCGGCAAATCGGAATACCGGAAATCGAAGATCGAGGCAAAGAACAAGAAGCTTTTCGAAGAGAGACAGCGGAATGCCAAGGAGATCACTAAGGAGAAGGAGCGCAGAGCCCACGCCGAGGAGACCGGTGAAGATGCCTTTGCGGGCGTCCACCCCAGTCGCAGAAACCGTATGGCTTAAGATCCACCTCTCGCCGGGTAGCGATCATAAGTTGATCAGTCTGGGCCAATCCCTGAAAAGAAATCCTGTGTTTTTTGTGCTCGCTTGAAAGATATCCTTCTGTTCTCTGTTTCTTATGTGCATACTTGGAAAGTGTCAAGCAGGATACTAGACTTGAAGAGACCAATTTTGTATATGACACGGCTCTGGCTTGACTATCAAACTATCTCTCGCATTGCAAACAAATCCAAACTCGTACGCTCACCCATGGCTTTCAATATTCGACAGTGAGGAAAAGGGAAGACGCTGAAGGCTGTGGTCCAACTCAGAAAAGACGCTCGTAGAGTGGTATTGGAATGGCATGTTACATCTTTATACTGCATTAGGACGGGAGGGAAAGAAGACACAGGGGGCGAGGTTATCCTGAACCTGGATGGAATGGAGAAAAGAAAACTTCAGGATCATGGCACCAAAACAAGGAACGGGAGGGAGGACAACCAGCCAAAACCAGCAAAATGCGGGGCGTTACAGCCAAAACCCAGACGCCGAATTAGTTATTTATATTATAGGTCGGAAGATGCAGTGAGGAGGAGACGATCTACAGAATGACACATTTCTTGTTCTTCGGTTTCGCCGTAGGCCGGGGGTTGAGGACAGCACTGAGGGCAACTGGTTAGAGCTCGAGACGCTAGCGCGGGGCAGTTTGCGAACAACAACAACATACCGAATGGCCTCGTCGAATACACTTTTCAGGTTACGCTGTGTGAGAGCGGAGCACTCCAGGTACTTGTGTGCTCGGATTTCCTTGGCCACGGCCAGAGCCTGTTCGTAGGAGACGGGCTCCATCTTCCTCTGGCGCAAAGTTTCTAGAGTGGCCCGATCGTCCCTCAGATCGAGCTTGGTACCGACGAGAATGATAGGTACGTTGGGAGCATGATGTTCGATTTCGGGGAACCACTGCAGGAGGATCAGTCCAGATGTTCGGCATGCGACTTGGGGCAGGCGAGCATGGCCTCTCAGGGGTAAAGTACCTTGGCTCTCACGTTATCAAACGAGGGAGGGCTAACAATGGAGAAACAGATCAGGAATACATCGGTTTGCGGGTAGGACAACGGGCGAAGACGATCGTAATCTTCCTGTCCAGCAGTATCCCAAAGTCCTAAGCTGATCGGTCTGCCATCTACCATTACACTGGCAGTATAGTTGTCGAATCTGTGGGCCGGGTTAACACGGTATTCCTATCAGACGAGAGCCTCCAAAAGAGCGGGATCACGGACACGGTGGGTATATATTCACCGGGGAAGGCGTTGGTTGTGTACGAAATCAGGAGACATGTCTGGCGGCTGCGTCAGCAATGGATGACCAGCAGAAGTTACCCAGCAGAAATGGGAACTGAGAAAAAACCACGTACTTTTCCAACAGCACCGTCACCTGTTACCACACACTGTAATCCAGCACTCAATGATTAGCTGCGGCTCGATTGAGCAACATGGTGGATGTCGCTGGCAGGAGCTGACCTTCAGGGATTGAGTCGCAGGTCCTGTCGCCATCTTCGCTTTATGATTCTAGAGGGTATATGAACACAAATGATAAACACGGTTGCGACGGTCACGACAGATCGAGGGTAATGGCGAGTTCGACTCCACGGAAGCTCGAGGATTCAAAGGGGTCAACGGGGGGAGTGGGTTGCGTCGTGGCCTAACGGGCGGGCGTGTAACCAAGCAGCGCGGGTATCTGCTGAAGACCGAAAGGCAAATCGAACCGGTCAGGGAGGATTCGCAATGCACAACGGAGATAACGGCAACACAACACCCAAGACACAAATACGCGGCCAAAGGTGCGAGACAGAAAATTAAGCAGGTGAAGTCAGAGGGATAATGGCAGGCAAATAAAAGAAAAAGGAAAAGATCCAAATGGAAGGATGAAAATAGGAAGACTAGGAAAGAAGATTGCAAAACAGGTGTGGTGGTGGAGGTGGAGGGAGGGAGGTGGAGAGGAGGTGAATGAAATAAAGAGAGGTGTGAATCAGCGGGTGAGAAATGTAAAGTAAGAGTGAGGGAGTCGATTGAGGAGGGGAGAGAGGAGGGGGGGATTGATCGATCAATCAATTCGGATTTGGTTTAGTGGATGAAGTGGATAATAGGAATGGGGGGGGGAGGAAGACCAAGTGTAGGAAAGGGACCTTCAAGGAAGAGGGGACACAAGAACAGCAACTGATAGATAGCACAATACTGTGATCGAAGGAAAAGTAAGTGGAAGAGAGAGAGAGAGAGAGAGAAGAGAGATACTCACGTCAGGGCTGAGGCAGAGCTTTCGACAGACGGGTGAATACACTAAATACTCCTTGAACAAAATGAACAATGAGACTATTGATCAATAGATGCTTAGATGCTTTGATGCTCTGATACTTGATGCTTGATGTTTGGTGCTTGATCTAATTGTCCCCCACGAGAATCGAGATAAGAGAGAGAATAAGAGAGGAAAGAAGAACAACCAGCCAGCCAGCCAGCCAGCCAGCCAGCCTGACTAGTCAAATTAACTAGTTGGTTGGGATTAATCCAATCCATCCTACAACTGGAATCATCATGAAGGTGGAATTGGATGAGATACTCGCGATGGCTGGGAAGCCAGCACCAATCATAAGCGTGTATCCAATATCAGCCTCTTCTCTTGTCGAGAGCCATGATTTTCTCCTCCGTCAGAATGCGCAGTCTCTGGTATTGAATGGATGGTCCCGTTGGGATCCAAGGGACGGCGCTTGCACCCTTGTGCCGGTTCAGGGGTCTGTCTCTTCCCCGCTGTCAAACACACCCTTCCGCCGGCGTTGCTATTCCTATACCTGATCGATCTTCAATTTTGATGTACCCGACCATACATCGTACGCAGTAACGTTAGTACCCTTGACACTATGACTGGTTATATCGACATGGCTCACGGACCACAAGCCAAGAAACACTCCCCCATGTCTGGTTCATGAATAAGAAATGAACAACAAAAGTCCTTGACTATACATCATCACCTAGTTCGGTCCTCCTGCAGCACCCGGGCGCAGACCGCCATCCTTCCGTCTAATATTAGATCGTTAAGCATCGGCTCTGGATATATACGCTGCAATGACGGGAATAGCTCGATTAGCGTTCCGATCGAATGCCGACTCGAAGTACGGAGTACAGAGGACGACGTTATGTAGCTAAGCTCCTTGTCTGCAAGCGTCTA